AAAAGAAAAGCCCCCTAATGGGGAGAAATAGGTGCAGACCCCCTTGCCACCTAGGCAAGAGCTGTATCTTTATATCAGGACTCTTCGTGGTTCCAGAAAAACAAAGAGCCAGAGGCTCAGCAAGTTAAATAGTTTATTTATAGGTATGAAAAGCCCCCTAAAAAAAAAAAAAAAAAAAAAAGAAAAGAAAAGAAAAGCCTCCTAATGGGGAGAAATACGTGCAGACCCCCTTTGCCACCGAGGCAACAGCTGTATATATCTGGACTCTTCGTGGTTCCAGAAAAACACAGAGCCAGAGGCTCAGTAAGTTAATTTAGGAGGCTCCCTCTCTTGGGCAGCAGGGGTTCCCTGGTGACCACCTCACCCCCACCAAGCAGTCCTCATTCAGAGGGGCTCACGCATCCTCTATTCAGAGGCACTTCGGGGCACAAGTCCCCCCCTGTCCAGCTAGACGACTGGGCAGCACTCTCCTGGGCCTCTCTGAGGCCAGGCAAAGCCCTAAGCTGGTGGTGGGGTGGGCTCCCTCCTCAGTGTATTATACTGTAATTGTGTAATATTTTGTATATCCTGGGGACCCAACACCCCCTGTATCATAGAGGTTGGAGCTGACAAATGGGCAAGAGGTTAACAGTATCCAGGAAATGGGGAGACTTATTTATTAATAGCATAACAGGACAAAGGAAGACCATAAGGAGGCGGGGACGGGGTTTAGCCCAGGTGATTCGACTCCTGTTTGCTTTTTATTTCGGAATAAATAAATGGATTTAGCCATACTGCTCCGCCTTGCGTGTGCCTGTTTCCAGTCCCTGGCCACCAGGTGCTGGGGTGTGCACGTTGGGCACGGGACAGGGAGCAGATCCTGCCAGCAGAGGGCAGGCTTCCGGATTGTGTGAAGCCCCAGCGTGTCTGAATCTGAGCGGAGCTGTTAGAGATGGGCCAGGCCTGTCTCACCCCCATGCTGCTGGGGGAGGTCTGGGGATCCCAGAGGCCCTTCCCTGAGACTCTTAAGGGGGCACTGCTGTCCTAATGGCCCAGAGGGTCAGAGGCCCTGAGGCTCAGAAGCCTGATCTAATCCTGGGGAGGGAAAACAGGGTCCCAGCACGCAAGAGTGGTGCCTTCCAGTTCAGGTAGTTTCCGTCCCATCACCCTGCCCCTCTGCTGGCCTGTGGTCCTGTCCATCCACAGTGTGTGCCAGTGCCCCCTTCCTTCCTCCAGGCTGAGTTGGTGCCCCTGCCCTGCAGTGAGCAGAGCTGGCTTCCCAGGATGAGAACCCTTGAACCGCAACCCCCACCCCCTGCCCTGCCAGGTGCTTTCCCAATAGGGCTTGCAAAGGATGGGACCTTTTTTCGCCACTCCTTACAGCACCCTAGCAACGGCTGGGCCCTTCCCCACCCCTGTGTCCCAGTGTTTAAGCCTTCCCCTTCCCCTGAACTCCACAAAGAACATAAACCAACAGAGGGCAGCTTCCCATCATCCAGAAATGGGTTTTATTCTCAGCCAAGAGACAGCAAGACCGGTGGTAGAGAGCCACACAGCCTCCAGGACAGCACCCCCCGGGCTCGGGTGGGGGAGGGACGGAAAAGTGGCTGTCCACAGGCGGGGCGTGACAGGGAGGCTCATCAGAGGTGGCACACCTTGGAGAGGGGGATGTCAGGGTGACAGTGTTCCCTGGTGGTTAGGCCACAAGACTCCTCACAGACAGCATGATGATTGATTGCCAACACTAGAGGCAAGGCTGTGGCGGCCGTGTGTGTGTGTGTGTGTGTGTGTGTGTATATATATATATATGAGTATTTATAGTTATTTATAGATTGGGGTAGGAGCAATACCACAGAGGGGCACAAGTTTTCACCACATCATCACGCCTGGATGTGTCAGCTCACCACTACAACAGACTGTCACAGATGAAGGGGGAGGCTTTGGGGCTGGGGAGCCACTGTTAAGTCACGGAACAGCCGTCCAGGCAGGCTTGGAAAGGGAGGTCTCCGAGGAATAGAGGGATCTGGTTAGAGGTCGAAGGGGGGCCTGGGGCTCTCAGGACGGGATGGACTTGCCTGACCCGATCGGCTGGCAGTTGGAGAGAAAGCAAAGAGAGAACGGAGAGAAGGAGGGAGAGAAGTGGTAAGGCAAGGGCAGCCAAGCCCGGTGGGGTGGGGGGGGGGGGAGGTAGGGGGAAAAGATGAAGCTGAGGGTGTGGACGAGGGCTCTGGAATGGAGGAGAGAGAAAGGGAAGGCGGGAGGACTTGGAGGTGGGTGGGGGCCACAGCTTCCCAGGGGTCTTGGGGGGGGGGGGGAGGCCGGGGTGGCGCTCCCCCTGCCACGCACGCTGGTCTCTCATACACCACCAGGCAGTGCACCCACAGCTCCAGGCACATGCTCGGCGCCCCCTGCCTTCCCTCTACCCCCACCCCACCCGTCTTCCAACGTACTGGCCCAGAGCCATCCCTAGCCTCCAAGTGTGGGGTCGCGAGCCCCAGGCCACAGCCACCAGTCCTCACGGAGGGAGACAGGAGGAGAAAGAACACTGTTTGAACCAGGAGGGCAAAGCTAAAAGGATGGCTGGAGGGAGCACTGGAGGCCCCTCTGGGTAGGCAGAAAACCCGGAGTCCTCAGAAGGGACCCTGGGGAGGCAGGGAGGTCAGGTAAGCTGGATGCCAGCGGCCACAGGCTTATAAGTCTAAGAGGGGAGCCTCAGCTGGTCGGGGGACCACAGGTCGCGTAGGTGAGGCTGGGCCCTTCCTGCTGGGGAAAAGCAGAAGGGCAAGAGTCAGCGGCAGGGACAGAGTGGCAGGTGGGTCACTGGGTAACTATGCAGCCCAGCCAGAGTGGGGACTCAGAGAAGCTGATTTGCCTAGGTCGGCGGACACTGTGGTCCCCTTAGCCGAAAAGCATAGGTCACCCCAGGAGCACCAGGCCCCGGACCCACGAGCCTGTGGGCTAGCTATGGTGCTTCACCTGGGGCCGAGGACACTGTTGTTTGTCATGCCTTCATGACAACACCAAGGAGGGAGGGAGACGGCCTGTGTGACCCTGCCTCACCTGTGAGCTGTGCCCAGGGCCCTATAGCTTTCAGAAAGCAGCAACCAACCAGAGCCTTCGCCCCCGATGGCTGCTCATCGGCCGGCACGAAAGAGGAGGTGCGGCCGTGCCCTCCTCTGCCCTGCCCCAACAGCACAGCTCCGATTGGGGAGCGAGTGTGGGACCCCCAGGACGAAGTTCCAAGGCCTCTGGCTGGCTAAGTCCGACCCACGCACAAGCCCCTCCAAATTCCCTGGTTCTACACCATCAACCATGAGCTCTCTGCCCTCTCTGATGGCTCCCGAGAGCACCCGTGACTGCCAGCTTGGGCGCGGAGCCTGTCCCAAGAGCTCCCCAGGCTCAGCCATGGAGGTGAGTGGCACTGAGTCCCGAGGCTCGCTGTGAGGGAGGTGAGAGAGCCAGCTGGCAGCGAGGACAGAAAGAGGAAAGAATAAGTCTGGAGCTGCAGGAGGGAGAGGGAGGGGAGCCTGGCTCTGAGGTCCCAGGTGTGCCCCCCAGTATGGAGCTGGTGCAGCGGGGGGCAGACACACCGTTCATGCAGCGGGCAGAGAGGCGTGTGTGCACCTACCGTGGCTGACGCTCCTCAGGGGTCACTGATAGTGATTCTGAAAGACAGCACGAAATCAACATGGCAGTTCACACACACGGAGGTGGCAGGCCTGGGGGCGGGGCCACGCACACGCACACGCCCGGGCGTGCACACACATGCTGGGAGGCCCCACGGCCCCGCATGCACACGCTGACACACATGCCCACGAACAACACGCACACACCTCCACCTCCCGCTGCCCAGCACCCTCACTGGCCGGCGCGTGCAGCACGGATCTGGGGCATGCAACCACTCGGCACACTGAAGCACACGCGTGGGCTGAGTCACAACACAGAAGCTCGCCCATACACAGGAGGCATTTGCACCAGCTCCCTGCACACTCGTGCTCAGAGGCCCCCTGCAACGTTCCCATAAGAGACAGGGCTTGCTTTCTTAGGGTCCAGTGGCCATCTCTCTGCCCGAGAACCTTCCATGGCTAACTAGTCCCCACAGCATTGAGTCCCAAGAAGATAAACTCTTCTGTGACCTTTTAAGGTTCTGCAGCCTGCCCCACCGTACCCAGAGCAACCTCTTCTTATTCTTCCTCCTCCTATCTTCGCTCTTCTCTGGCCAGCTGCTCTCCTCAATGCATTCCATGCTAACCCTTCGCCCGCACCATACCGCCGCTCCATACCCAGATGTCCCTGACTCCTCATCACCTGAGTCTTATCTCCATCAGCCCCCAGTCCTCCCCCGGGTCAATCTGTCTTGAAGCTTCCCAGACTGTTCTCTTCCCCGAGGCAGGGCCGGGACTTGCCAAGTGTTTCTCGTGTGTTACCAAGACTGGAGTTAGAGCAGGCGCCAAATCTTCCTCTTCCCATATGTCACCCCTCAGCGCAGACCTGGGCATGTCAAATACCCTTAAGAATCTGAACTCACGAGGGAAGTTAGCAAAGCGTTCCTATGGCCACATTTGCAATTCATGCAGCTTCTCTATAGTCACTGTCTCCCTTGATCCTCACACCAGCCCTGGGAGAAAGGCAGAATGTTAAATACCATGTGGTAGGAGGGAAACTGAGGGCCAGGAAGGGAAAGTGACTTGCCTAAAGCCTACGATGAACCAGAACTTCTGGACTCCAATCCCGTGCTCTTGACCAATACCCCGCTGCCTGCTTTACCCCATCTGTTTTGGTCATCAGATCTCCATGGAAGCAAGTCCCATCTCGGCTTCCTTTGGGGTTCATGGAGGCTAGACCCACGAAGGCTAGGCCCTACCCCTCCAGCCATCTGGAAGCACAAGTAGATGCTACTGGTCTGATGTGTTCTTCCTCAAGGGACGTGGCCAGTGGAAACAGGGACTGAGATATCAGAATGAGCTTCCTTGAAAAAGGGTCATAAATCAAGAGGCAAATCCAGGGGAGGAAGCAGAAGCCTTTTCCTTGGAAATCTCTGGGAATGGGGCAGGCTTCACCTACTCCTGCCCAGCACCCACCATGTTGGTCCAGGCCAGGCAGGGCCAGAGGCAGAGCCATAGAAGAAAGCCATTGACTGCCCCATGGCTTCCAGGCCCCTTCCCAGCTGCTCCGTATCCTAGTCCGTGCCTGGATGCCATTCTTACACTCACACTCGTGTGCACGCCCACACACACATCACACACCTTGCTGGTCAGTCAGAGCCTGGCCTCTGTTCCTGTGGGCCAGAGGCCAGGCACCCCCTGGGACAGCTCAAAGAGTCAGGACTCAGAGTAGCCCTGCATGTAAGTGGAAAAACTCCACATCTGGAGAGGATCTGGGTTCAAAGTTCCCCAGACCTGAGGTAGGTCACAAGGGGCTGGGAGAGAGGAACTGAGAACAGAATGGAGAAGAGGAGAGCCAGGAGAAAGGAGGAGGAATGCAACGTGTGGAGAGAGGAGGGAAAAGGAAGGGAAGCGCCATGCAAGTGCTGGAAAGAAGGGGGCAGGTGGGATGAGTCCCACGGCCCCCTCCCCAGAAAGGACCACCTCCGGGACTCAGCGCTCCCTGGGGGGCAGGCTCCGCAAGCCCTCGGCCACTCGTCCCGTGGCTCCTGCACCCACGTCGGAGCGCCCTGGATGGAGAGGGCCAGTTCTGGCCACACCTCCCTCCCAGCTACGCCCGCCCGGTGGTCTCTCCCGCCGTATTCGGTCCCTACTCACCTGGGGACCCCGGGCGGGGCGCGGTTGGGGCGCGAGGGCACCTGGGGGGGAGGGCCGAAGGGGTCAGGGGAAGCCCCCGGCCTGGAGGGCACGGGGGGCGCCCCCCCCAGGGCGGACCCAGCAGGCGGAGGCCCAGGAGCAGGGCCCCGCGACCCGGGCCGGGCTGGGGGCACGGCGGGGGCTCGGCGCTGCGGCGTGGGGCTGGACGTGGGTGACCTGCGTGCGACAGGGCGCGGAAGACAAGGAGGGGAGAGATGAGCTGCTCCGCCCCACCCTGAGGCCCCGCCCCAGCCCAGCGCCGGCCACGCCCATGCGCGGAAGCCCCGCCCCGCAGCATCCTACTTGCTCCCGGAGTTTAAGCCCCGCCTCCGGTGGATCCAAAGTTCCAGCTCCACCCAGCCCCGCAGCCAGCGCTTCACGGCAAGCCCCGCCCCGCGACAAGCCCCGCCCATATCTAAGCCCCGCCCCCTGCTCCAGGTGGGAGCCGTTCCGGTGACGCGGGCGCGCCACTGCCCGGTCCCGGCCCTCCACCCGCGGGCCCCGGGCTGGGGGGCTTTGGGGCCGTGGGGGCCGGCCCTGGTACCTGCGTCCGGCCGGTACGCTCTGCACCTGCAGCCAGGAGTCGTCCACGGGCGGGGGCATGGGCGTGCTGACAGTGGTCGTGTTGATATCGCCGATGATGCTGAGCGCCTCCTTCAGTGCGTGGTACATGCGCAGCATCTCGTCGCGCCGCTGCGCCTGCTCCGCCGACTCCTCCATCAGCGTGTTCTGGTCCCCGCATGAGTACAGGTTGGCCAGCAGCTCCGAGAAGATGAATTCCTTCGTCTGTGGGCACGCGAAGAGAAGGACGGGCTGGGACCTGACACCTGTACCTCTCTGGCCGCCCCTCGCGAGGACCGCACGCTGGGCTGGGAGCTCCCCGGGTCCTGGCTTTGCCACCACCTGAACTCGGGCATCTCACCCCGCTTCCCCGTCTCCCTCCTTGCCCTTTTCTCAGTTGGTCCAGAGAGGAAAACTGACCTGTCCAAGGTCATAGATATGGGAAGGCACTCCGGGCCTATCATGCAATGAGGACACCTAGTTACTCAGCTTTGTCTCAGCCTCAGTTTCCCTATCTATAAAATGGGGTAGTTAGTTACACCTTTGCCAAGGACTTGTGCACTCCAGGGGACCAAAGTAAGGTAGATGCCAGTTTAAAATTTTCTGAGCCCTTGAGTAACACGTGTCAGGTGGTGCCTGCCTGGATTGGGTGAAATGTGTCTCTGTGTAGGCGGTGGGTTAATATGTTCCTTATTCTCCGTGGTGCTACCTGGACCTGGTCCTGGATATTCATGGAGAGGCGCTGAGGTTTTTACGCCATAGGCCTGTGTCTCACTTATTTGCTACAAACGTACGCTGAGCACCTACTATGTGCCAGGCACCATGTTGTTCTGCTTTATATATGCTTTACTTCTCAACTCTATTATTATCCATATTTTTACATATAGGGAAACAGGCTCAGAGAGGGTGGTTTACTGAAAGTCAAACAGAATTTGTGGCAAAACCAGGATTCAAGCACAGTTTTCATTCTCTGGGGGCCAGGCTTTTTCATTAAGCCATTCTGCGGGGCGTGCATTTCAAAACATGGTCTGGGGGTTCCCTAAAGATGTGATTCCTGGTTCCTTTTGGGAAACATTTAAGCATGTTTGGAGCAACTTGGGTATGTGACTCTACAATATAATGTACAAAGCTCACATTATATTTCTTTTGGACAGCTCTGGTGTGGACCTATATCTACCTCGCAAGACCCGATCCCCAGGGACTGGCTGTGCCTCCCCCAGGCCAGCCTGGCCACTGCCTCCCTGGTCCCCAGAGAGCACCCCCGGCCATGAAGGGTTTGCACCTACATTGTTGATCATGAGATGCATGATGGTCTTCGGCATGAGGTCCCGTACGGTCTTGTTCACAATGGCCATGTATGAGTCCACCAGGTTCCGGATGGTCTCCACCTGCCGCTCTAGCTGTGGGTCCATGGAGTGCATGAAACTGTCTGAGCCGTTCTCCTCAGTCTCACTGGCCTGCCGTTGAGAAGAGAGGGCATCAGGGTGGTGGGGCCCTCGCAGCCAGGTTCCAGGCACCCCCAGGGTCTCGGCCCCTCCAAGGGTGCCTGGAACACTGCCGTACATAGAACAAACACCAGCTCCCCCAAACATACTGCGTCTGCACTCTACCCACCCCAGTGCCTCTTAGGATCCCAGACCCTCATTCAGCCTTATCTTGGCTCTCAGTCCAGTGCCTAGAATTTGCCTCAGTTTCCCAGTCCATCAATTAGGAAAGACTTTCCAGGGTCAATTCCTGATGCTAAAGAGCTGGCCAGAGCTGCTGCCAGGCTGGAGACACCTGGTAGAGGGCGAGGGAGGGGGACACTCACTTTCTCCTTGTCCTGGGAGGCCCACACCAAAGCCACAGAGGTCATGACACCGGCATTGGCACCACCACCGCCGCCGCCACCAGCAAGCACAGCCGAAGCAGACACACACAGAAAGGAAAAGGCAAGTGAACCCAGGGCACTCTACCCCAACCCTAGGGCAACTGTAGACATTGCCACGGTGAAAGAGAGGAGGAAAGTGAAGGTAGCCACAAAAAGCCACCGCGATATGAAGGGGATGCAGGAAGTGCCATCTGTGGTAGAGGGTCACGAAAAACCGGCTTTGGAGGACAGGAGGAAGGCTTCACTCTGATCCCACGCCGGCGCAGGTAAGGGGAGGATCCATGCTATTTCTGAGCCCCAGAAGCGCTCAGAACCGTGACATGACATTCCTGAGGATAGTGACCCAGGGCCCCTATGGGAAGTCACTTGTCCCCGCCACCCCACCACTCACCCCAACACGCTCAGGATACACGCCAGCCCTCAGGAAGGAGGCCTTCCAGCTGTCCACCTCCTCCTGTGTCTCACAGGCCAGCTCCAGCTGCCGATAATCCTTGTAGACATTCCTGCAGGATGGGGCAGGCGGGGAGGGGAGAAGGCGCGAAACCCATTCATGCAGGTGGTTAAGGGCATGCACAGATTGGAGGCATCACGCCTGGGGTCCAGGCCTGGCTTTCTCATTTCCCAGCTGTGTGACCCTGGGCAAGTCCCCTCTCCTTCCAAGATTCAGTTTCCTCGCCTGGAAGATAGGTTAATAAAATGGCTCCTGCTTCCCTGGGTCATTGTGAGGATTCAGTGAAATTAGCAGTCAAATGTTCTATTAGAAAGGGACTAAAAAGTGGGGGGATGAGCCCTCATAAGAGGGGCACCCCTGACCATGCAGTACCCATTGGCTCCCCCTGCCTTCCTGGGGACCTCTCTGACGGAAGCTCTACTGATCCCTCATCTCGAGTAAGGGGAAGCCCGCAGGAGACGGCCCTGGCCTAGGAGGGGAGAGGCGCGGTACTGTTACCGACATGACTGGACACTGAGTAGCAAGAAGGGGACCAGGCCTGAAGGGTTCTTCTTTGATCCCCAGGCCTGGCAGAGCAGGTGCTCACCCAGTGACCAACTAAATATTTGTCAAAGGAATGACTTGCCATGGGGCTCGGGGCAGGTCCCTGTCCTTTCTGAGGGTGGTTGGGGGCTTGAAGTCTGGGGACCCACCTCTGCTCAGTGTTAAAGAGGGCAAAGATGTGTTTGCTTGACATGAACCCTTTCTCCACATCCCGTAGCTTCAGGTTGTCCACGGAGAGCATGTATTTCTTCTCTTTCTCCTGTGGAGAGAGGTGGGAGTGATGGGCGAGGTCAGCACTGCTCCCTGCTACTCCTCACAACCTAAGAGGGTTTTCTATGTGGTGGGGCGGGGCAGGCTGGGGCTGTGGGGCCCCAGAGTGGCCCTGGGCTTCGGGGGCACCTGTGTGCCATGCACGGCACGGGTGCTGTCTGAAGAAAGCCTGGCCATGGAGCCTGGGGCCTGCCGGGCGTCTCTCGTTCCCAACGGCATTCAAGCCATTCCCACCACCTCTGCATACGTGCCAGAGCCCAAGAGTGCAGGGTGGCGAGACTGAGGGGGTCTCCCAGTCCCACCCCAAGCAAGCCCTGGATACCATCCAGGCCAGCCCCTGGCAGGGACTTCACACTCAAGCCTCTCTCGCCCCCCGCATGGCCAAGGAGACCTGCTTTGGCTAAGCTGCTGACTTCATTTCCTGACTGTGGAGACAGTGAGGGGGGGCCACCAGCTCCAGCAGCTTCAAAGGGCTGGCTCAGCCCACCACCCGCCCCCGGCCGTCCATGTGTTAGCAATCAGGGGCACAGCACAAGCCTGGAGATGGTATGTCTGTGTGTGCAACATGTATGAAGTTGTGTGCTTGTGCAAACACACGCCTGCCGGAGCATGGACCTGTGACCCGTGTGTATGTGTGCCCGTCTGTGTTGCCCAGGTGTGTGTGTGCACATGTGTGCCCGAGGAGATGCCCAGCATGGCCATGGATCCTTGTGAGCATGTTTGTGTGTCAAGGTGGATGCGTGCCCACTCTCATAGGTGTGTGTGACAACTGTAAACATCTGTGTTTGTATGGAGCGTGCCTGGGGGGCACACTGTGGGCACACGTGTTTATACGCAGATGGTTTGTTGCATGCGTCAAACACGTTTAATTTATCTGTAGTCATCTGGGAGGACAGACATGCCTGTCTCAGACAAGGAATGGGTCCCCTGCCATTTGCACACCCCCAGTGACAGGGAACTCATTATCATAAGAAGCAATAAGGCCAAACTAGACAGCTCACTCCCTAGAAAGTTTGGCATATATTTTGGCTCACCCTCCCCATATTTTCTTTGTTCCAGGCCCCCTTTCTTTTACGTGTTGGTCCTGTTTTCTCTGGTCATGCTGTAAACATGTATCTGTGTATCTTGGATGGGCACATGGGAGCCAGGCCTGCGTGCACACTTGGATGGGGCTCTAGGAGGAGAAGGGTTTCTGCTGCTGGTACCCTGCATGCCCACACCCCAGGACCTGTGCTGTGGTCGGGGGGATGCCTGTGTAGATCTCAGGGACTCAAGTCTTGGGCATGAAGCTCATCCAGAATCTCAGGTTGGGCCGGGGAGAAGGGGCGGGGGGGGGTGCTGGGTTGAGGAGGACCCTGCTCCCCAGTCCTGGCGCCATCCTGCCCACCTCCTTCGCCCCCCCCCCCACACCCGCCTGGCCCATCCGGCCACATAAAGCCTTCTTTATGCCAGGCGGGTGGCCGGGAGCCCCAGAGGGCGGCTGGGGGAGGAGAGGAGGAAGTTGCACACGCGGCCAGAGAACATCTGGAAGCGTTCGAGGGAGGCCCCGTCACCACCCGCCCTGCGCTCTGGGGTTGGACTCTAGGTAGGAGCGGCCTCCTCCCCCCACCCCTCCCTTCCTGCTGGCCGGCCCCCTCCCCAGGCCCCTCCTTCCCAGCCGAAGCTCCCGCTCACCCCTGCCACGTCAAAGGAGGCAGAAGGGGAGTCGGGAGCAGAGAGGGGACCACGGGCTGGCTGGGCTGGGGTTGGGGGCCTTGGATCTCCAGGACAGGGGGCTGAAGCTCCCACCCGACGGACAGACACCGCTGCCTGGATGCACCAGAGGACACCTCCACTCCGTCTACCCAGTGTTTAGACTATCTGTTCAGGACTCCCAAATTGTACAGTAGTCTGCACATTGGTTAGGCTGGGCTGGGTTAGACCCTCGGCGCCGCCGCTGGAGAGCTGGACCGACCCCCACCCACCATCCCAGAACCGGAACCGGGAGACGGGGCAGGGAGCTGGCGGGTGGGGGGGGGCGCGCAAAGGGAGTGCTGGGAGGAGGTGCAGGGGGAAGGGGGCACCCTGCTGTGAGACGGGAAGGGGGTGCTGATGGGTGGCGGAGGGAGCCTGAGAAGAAGGGGGGGCAAATGAGGACTGGGGATAGGGGCAGCTGCCTGTCTGCCCAGAGGGCCACCCAAGTCCCAAAGACCAGAGGGCTGGTGGCTGGGGAGAGAGGGGGACAGACCATTCTCTCTGCAGGCCAGACCACCTCCACATCCGCAAGCTGGTCTAGTGCAAAAATCCACTCACATCACACACACACACACACATGCACACACTCAACAACTCGACATGCACACCCCGACAACTCAGGCATATACATTCCCACACCCAAACTCAAGCCACACACTCATGCCCCCAGCACACTTGCACATCCCAGGGGCACACACGTGTGCGCACACACACACCCTCACCAGGGAACACCGGCTTGCTCCCGTCCTTCCATCCTGAGCACATCCATACACCCTCCCTTCCACACAGGGCCCAGGCACGCGCAGTCTTCTCCCGACCACACCTAGATGCTTATACCCCAAACACTCCTCCAACGCCCCCCCACAGCATCCATGAGCCTCACACACCCCACCTCCTGGCCCTCACTGCCCACCCCCACTGCGCCCCACACACGACCCCACCCCAATGTACACACGAAGCTCAAAAAGACCCCGCCACCCAAGAACAGGGCCCCTCTTGGATACATTCCCGGGCAGCGAAGCCCCCAGCCCCAGGCCACACTGTCCCCTGGCCCAACACATGAGGACCTTGCGACAAAAGAGGACCAGGAGTTCTGGGCCCAGCAGTCAGCACCCCCAGCCCACGAGGGGTCTAGGCAGCCTGCCTGAGCAACAGAGCAGGAAGCGACCCCCCCACCCACGTCACACCACCTCACACTCCATCCCTTCCAGGGGCCCCATGCTCAGGGAGAGGCCAGGGTTGGGGTAATGAGGTCCAGATGGCTTGGCGTCCCAGCCAGTGACAACGGGAGGGCCCAGCCCAAGATGGGGAAGGGGGGCTTGCCCAGGGCGACTTGGAGGGGGCAGGGATCAGGGAGGGAGCTCAGAAACCAAAATCACAGCCCCCATCCCAGCCCCACTTCCCCACTGAGAGTGCCCTCTCCTCTGAAAGCTTCCTCAGGAAGAAGGTCCCCTCCCCCACTCTGTGGCCAGCTGGAGTTCATTACCACAAGTCCCCTCCCCACACACACCCCAAGCCCTCCCTATTCTCTCTGGTCACCTCTGGAATCCAGATGTGGAAGCCAAATAGACTCATTCTTAAAGGAGACCGGCAGCGAGGGAGGGAAGTGGCAGGGGTTCTGTGTGCCCCTGTGGGCAGGGAAGGGTTTGGTGTGGAGTCTCTGCGGGGCCCCAGCAGTCCCGGCCCCTCGGCCTGGAGGCACCTGGGGCACCTCCCTTGCGCCGCTGGGGTCTGGGGGACAGGGGTGCCGGGGTTAACAGGGTGTCTGGCAGCTGGATATGTGTGTGTCATAGGCCTGCGGGGCCACGGGGGAGGCGGCACACCCTAGAGCAGGAAAACAGGAAGGCCACAGGGCTGGCGGGGTCAGGGAGGGGTGCCCAGCACCCCTGTCCACCCTCTCCAGGGCGCTCAGTCCCAGGCCCCCCGCTACTGCCAAGCCACCTTCTCTGTCCAGCCTGGAAGGACTCCCAGGATTGCCTGCGCCTGATCCTTGCCGCCCACTTCTGCCCAAGGGTCTCTGATGGGATTTAAGAAAAGCCCTGTTCGTTGGGTGGCCCGGTCTCCTTCAGGCCCTTGGTAGTGTCTGAGCCTGACTCTGGCCCCAGCCGAAGCCCTTGATGACCAGTGGCCCTTTACTCACCTCATCGTCCTTGTACCAGGACAGATTCTCAGCGGTCAGCACAAACCAGTACTCCTTGGAGCCCCCCTTCATGATGCCAATATTATTGATGGTTAGCCAGCCCTTCCGGATGACCTGGAGGGTGAGAGGGCAGGAGGTCAGTGGGCAGAGGACAGGACTCCCTGTGGACAATGGGATAGGCAAAGAAAGCCACTCCAAATCCCACCCCTCCTCTAGCTCTAGGAGGCCTGGCCGGGCAGGGAGGGTGTGGGTCAGACCTGCTGTGGTTTGAACCACAAGGGAACAGACTGGAAGATGGAGAAAGGCGGAGGTTAGCTCAGGATAAACAGCCTTCTGACAGAGCCATCTGAGGAGGGGACTGGTAGCCTTGGTAGCGGATGAGCTCCCCACCTCTAAAAGTGTGCAAGCAGAGTTTAGGGAGCCAACTGGGCAAGACAACACTGAATGTCTTTTCAGCTTAAGATTCACCTTATTCTAAGACTTGTTCCTGACCTCAGGGACTTTATACGTGCTGCTGCTGTCTCTGCCTAGAAAGCACTTCCCTCCTGTTGGTCTGCCAAATTCCTCTTCACCCTCTGGGTATCAGCTCAGAAGTCCCATTCTCAGGCAGGCCCTCCTTAGTCCCCAGTATGTCTGGACCCCCATTATAGTCTTGCAGTCTTTTATAACTCCCTTAAGTCTTCTTCTATGACAATGGGTGAGATTTCAAAATTGTGCGCGCGCGCGCGCGTGTGTATGGGTGTGTGTGTGTGTGTGTGTGAGTGAGAGAGAGAGAGAGAGAGAGAGATAGAGAGAGATTATCTGCTGATGTCAGCTGGTCTTGTTAAATTATGAACTCTCTTGCTCACTGGTATATCCCAGCACTTTGCAGTGTGCTTGGCAGACAGTAAGCAATCAATCAATCAATATTTGTGGCATGTGCTATGGTAGTGGGGTTCTAGGGGTCTTTGGCCCCAAGGCAGGGACAGGAGTGGGGTGGTAGGGAGTGGGAGCAGGGTAAAGGGCTGAGCATGAATGGAACAGGCTCCTTCCTCCCTGGGGAGCCCAGAGTAACAGGCAAAGATCTGTTTCCACAGCAGGAAGCAGCTGTCCCCAAGACCATCCTGAGCCACCACCAAAGACAGGGCCTGTAGATTCTGCTCCAAGGACAAGGCCACTGACTAGACCCCCCGGGGTGGGTCATAGAGAAAGAGCTCCCTCCCCCAGCCCTGACATCCCTGGCTCCTCTGAGCATCCAGAGAAGAGCTGAGGACGAGGAACCTGGGGCTGGCAGGAATGTTGTCTGCAGTCAGGCCTGCTTCTGAGACCCTTGAAGCCCCCCTGGAGCCCTCCTTGACCCTCTGGCCTCCCCCAGACCTTGCAGAGAACCCAAGCGACAGTGGATCAGAAACTGAGCAGCTGCCTTTGCCATTCACAGAAACATGACAGACAGGTGCCTCATGGTGCCTCTCTCATTCTGTCCAGGTCTGGTGAGGATCCCCTCAATGTCTTGTCACTGTCTTTGGAACTCAGTCCAAATACCATGGCCTGGCACCCCAAGATCTGATCAGCAGACCTTGTCAGCTACTCCCTGCTCTGACTTGCAGCCTTTGCCCTCCCTTGGCTGCCTCCAGCTCTGTCAAAACCCCTTCTAGAGGGGCGCCTGGGTGGCTCAGTGGGTTGAATCCTCTGCCTTCAGCTCGGGTCATGATCCCAGAGTCCTGGGATCGAGCCCCGCATCAGGCTCTCTGCTCTGCAGGGGGCCTGCTTCTCTCTCTCTCTCTGCCTACTTGTGATCTCTGTCTGTGAAATAAATAAATAAAATCTTAAAAACAAAAAAACAAAAAAACAAAAAACCCTTCTAGAGCCCCTGCACCAGGAACCTCTACCCCTCCAACCCCCACCCTACCTGGGTCCTGACCGCAGACTCAGGTCCCCAGGGGGCAGGGCTGGAGTCTGACCCCTGTCCGGGGGCCAGCCCAGTATAGGCACCACCAAGTGTTTGCTGAACTGAATTGCCCTGGGATATCACACTCATTAATGCCTTCGTTCTACTGAGCACCTACTATGTGCCAGGCACTGGCCTGTAGGGCGGAGAATTTGCTGACGGACAAGAGAGACCCAGTCCTTCCCCTCATGGGGTTTGAGAAAGAAATAGGTATGAAGCCAATAGTCACACAAACACCTAGATTGTTATAAAGAAACTGCGGCCTCTGGAAAATTCCAGACAATGGCTCATGTCGGGGGAGAAGTGGTGTTTTCAACAGAGATCGGAAGGAGAGAATGGGTGAGGAGGGACTTCTCTCTTGACATTCATTCATCTCTTTACTCAACTCTCTGGTAGAGATGGTTACCTACCATCCATCCATAAATCCATCCATCCATCCATCCATCCAACCATCCATCCATCCAACAGATATCTGAGGAGGACCTACCGAGTGCCACTGCCAGCCATTTTCACCCACCCAGCCCACACGGTCTTCCTCTGCCTGAAGTAGGTGCTAAGCTCATGCGTGCTGATGCGCAGGTTGATGGGACTCTGTGAATGACTGGGCCTCGCCTCTGGACTGCGAGCACATGTGGACACCACGTGCTGATGTGTGCAAGCAGCTCAAGCCAAAGAGTGCCCTTCTGCCCCCTGTGCTCCCCACTACAGATGGGCCCCTTCCTCCCCTTCACTACATAAGCCAAGAGCCCCAGTCCTGGTACTCACCAGAATCTCATCCTGCAAAGAGGTAACCATAGCAACCACGAGAAGCATCGGGAGAGAGGAGAGAGGGTTACTGAGGCAGAGTGGGAGGCTTGTGGCTGGCAGCTGACAGGCTCCCTGGCCCCCGTGGGACCCTTCCCCTCGGGGGAGGGGGGCTCTCAGAGCTTGGCGTCCATCCGGCACCCTCCATCCCTCCGGCTGGGGCACTGGGGTTCACTCACCTGGTTCCCTGAAGCCTTCTTCTTGTTCATCTGGTTGCTCCTCTGCTGAGCACTGACAGGGAGAGGGGGAAGGGTCTCGGAATTTCTTCTCTCAAGAGGCCTAACTTCAGTGCCACTGCTTAGTGGGCACTGGACCCAGAGGGTTAACCTAGCAGGCCTGGGTCCTACACACACACGCACACACAGAGGAGGTGTCGCCTTCTCTGCCTAGGGAGCACTCACTTGGCAAAGCCTATGAAGTCCTCATGATTGGTGTTCATGTACGCCAGCTCAATGTCGATGAGAAGCATGACCTTCGAGGATACACATGTTGGCAGGCAAGGGGAAAAAAAAATGGCAGGGTTTTAAAATGCACGAAGGGCTGGAAGAAACATACTTATAGCACTTATAGAACCCATAATAAATCAACCAAGCCTTCAATAATAGGATCCATAAAAAAATAAAGAGTTCCTACAAGTCAATAAAGGAAAGAGACATGCCACACAAATCAAATTAGCCAGAGAACACGAATGGGTAATCCATAGAGAAAATACATATAATATATAAGGATATGTAAAAAATGTTCACCCTCATTAATAATGAAATCTAAGTTAAAACAATGAGAGCCTTTTATAACCTATCAAATTAAAAATAAATATTGGTAATGACCAGGGTGGCCATGATTGTGGGAAGATGGATTTTCATGGTGGAAGTGCAAATCAGGGCCACCATCTTGGAGGGTTATTGGGTAACATTTAACAATATTAAAATGCGCTTACTCACTGCTAGAACTGTATATATAATATGTATTGTAGGTCTCATAGATAAACTCATCCAAGTGAGCAAAGATATATGTTCAGTGTGGTGTAGTTTGTAATGGAGAAAAACTGGAAACAAGCTAATGGCCATCAGAAGGTGAAATAAATTATGGTATCCTCTGAACAATAACTCATTCTACAATATTCAAAAGAATGAGGACAATTTCTAGGTTCCGGCGCTGGAAGATTCCCTTTGCAAACGAGGAAGAGTGGTGGGATTTGTAACTGAGTTGTGACCAGAGGAACATTCCCGATGCACACCGCCGGGTTTAGACCCAAGCCCCACTGCTCCCCATAATACACCTGTGCTCACTGAGCCTCCAGTTCTGCAGATGAAATGTGTCTGCCTCCTAGGAACGGCGAAGTCACGATGAAATGAGGCAGCTCACATGTCTGACGTGTAATGGGTGCTCAACAGATGTTAGCTACTACAATTAACTTTAGAGAAAAAAGGCAAGACACACAGCGGGACTGTGGTTATTGGAGATTAAGGTGGAAACTGGAATGTGTATATGTCTCGGGAAAAAATGCCGAGGGGCGCCTGGGTGGCTCAGTTGGTTAAGTGGCTGACTTCAGCTCAGGTCATGATCCCAGAGTCCTGGGATGGAGCTCCAGGTCTGGCTCCCCATTGAGTAGGGAGTCTGTTTGTCCCTCTTCCTGTGCCCCTGCCCCTGACTTGTGCTCTTGCTCACTCTCTCTCTCAAATAAATAAATAAGATCTTTTTTTAAAAGTGGAAAATATATGGCAGGATCTTTTTTGGATTTTTTAATTATTTTTTAACCTTTTTTCAAAAGATCTTATTTATTTAAGAGAGAGAGTGCAAGAGGTGGGGGGAAGGGTAGAGGAACAAGCAGACCCTTCACTGAGCAGGGAGTCCAATGTGGGGCTCAATTCCAGGACCCTGAGATCATGATCTGAGCAGAAGGCAGATGCTTAACCGACTGAGTCCCCCAGGCATCCCAATAAGTAAGATCTTAAAACAAAATGCTTGGGCCTTGAAGGGAACATACCAAACTGTTAATAATGGTTATTTTGTGGGAGGAACCAGGGGCAGGGAAGAGTGAATGAAGGAACACTTTACCTGTAATTTAATTACTTTTATACCGATTGAATATTTTATTATTTATCACTTTTGTAATTGAAGAGATCAATGAGGATTCAAAAACACAACATGCGAACAAAGTTGTGAACGACTGGGGGACAGCACTGTCATGGAGAAGGGGCATGTTAGTATGGAGGTTAGGAATTAGGAGCCAGGGGTGGGTACAGACAGAAGGATGATAGAGAAACGTACAAGTAAGAGGACTTGTCTATGGGCCTCGTGTGGGCTATGAGGAGGCAGGCTCGTCTGCTCCTCCCAGCTCAGAGGCAGCATTCAGTGACTATGTTTGTGAACGAAGGAATGGATGTCTGATAAATGACTAAATAAAAGTCTATTTGGGCAATGGAATATCATTCAGATAGTCCTTAAAAAGGAAGGAAATTCAGAAGGGGCACCCGCACCCCAATGTTCATAGCAGCAATGTCCATAATAGCTTAACTATGGAAAGAGCCCCGATGTCCATCAACAGACAAATGGATAAAGAAGATGTGGGAGACACACACACACACACACACACAAATATTATGTAGTCGTCAAAAATGAAACCTAGCCATTTGCAACGAGATGGATGGAACTAGAGGTTATTATGCTAAGCGAAATGAGTCAAACTAGAGAAAGACAATTATTAAATGATCTCACTCATGTGTGGAATTTAAGAAACAAAACAGAAGCGCATACTGGAAGGGAGGGAAAAATAAAACAAGAAGAAATCAGAGAGGGAGACAAACCATAAGAGACTCTTAATCATAGGAAACAAATTGAGGGTTGCTGGAGGGGAGAGGGGTGTAGGGATGGGGTAACTGGGTGAGGAGCATTAACGAGGGCACGGGATGTAATGAGCCCTGGGTGTTATATACAACCAATGAATCACTGACCTCTACCTCTGAAACTAATAATACACTATATGTTAACTAATTGAATTTAAATAATTTTTTTTTAAAAAAAGAAGGGAACCGTGACACCTGGTGTGGTCTAGCTGGACCTTGCGCAAACCATGCTAAGTGAAACAAGCCAGACACAAAAGGACAGTTACTGTAAGTTTCCACGAATATGAGGTCTCTAGAGTTGTCAAATTCACGGAAACACAAAGGAGATCAGCGGTTGCCAGGGGCTGGGGGCAGGCAGGGGCTGGAGAGTCACTGTTTAATGGCACAGAACTTCGTTTGGGGAGGATGAAAAGGTTCTGGAGACGGGGGTGATGGTCACACAACAGGTGAATGTGCTTCACGCAACTGGACCCACACTGAAAAGTGGTGAAAATGTCAAATTTTATGTTCTATATATTCGACCACAATAAAAAAGTTAGAGAAGCAGAGAGTATGAGGTGAGAACGTGTAAAGCAGACTGAGACAGAAGAGGCAAATAGGAAGGAGAAGGAGGAGGGCTGGGGGCTGGGGTGGGGGTGGGGGGTGGGCACCAGAGTGCCGAGGGCTCACCTGCTCCTTGGTGCGACCCTCACGCTCCCGAATGTGGGTGGTCACGATGCGCTCCATCTCTTCCCGCAGCCGGGGATACTGCTGCAGCTGGGGAGGGGTGGGAGGGGAGAGAGCCACGTACACAGGGGGGCACTGGCGAGGAGCACCCCCACCCCACCAGAATCCAGGGACCCAGGGGCATGGGGTGGCAGGACACACAGAAGGCCTGAGATGAGGGGAAGAGAGGCCTGGGGTCCCAGGAAGCTGAAGGCACCAAGCCATGGCCACCCTTTCCCTCAAGTGTGGGTTCCAAACGGCAATTCAAGGGTCTTTGGGGTTCCAGGCCCTCTTCCAGGCCTACTTGGGCACCTTCGGGGGGAGGGCAGTTCCCATGGGCAGAAATGCCATGGGGCCCAGCCTTCTCCGCCATCTTGGTGGCAGCCATCTTGGAAACAGACTATTGGATGGAGGCTTCTGTGGGGGGTCCGTTTGCTCCCAAAGCTTTCATTGACCCCCAGAGCTAATCCTTGTCCTCCCAAAGGCTTGGAGGGACAGTCAGGAGGGGAATCAGGCAGAGAACAGCCTCAAGATTCCTGTCCAGGAAGAATCTGGGGAGGGCAGGGCCCGAGGTGCCAGCTGGCCTCCTGAGTCAGGCTGGGGACAGGCAATAGCCCTTGTCAGAGCTGAGGGAGGGGGTGGGGGAGACCAGCAGGCACATACAGGACATGCAGGAGCCACAGGTAAGGCATGCGAGGGCATCGGGTGGGGGTGGGGCATGCGGAATCAGGTCCCAGCAGCATGAGCAGTACCCCGTGGGGGCCTAGCTGGACCCCGGGCCCTCTTGGTAGAATCCACCCAGTTTTGCCTCCCTTTGCATGCCCCGGCCTGGCACCATCATCCCCAGCGGCATCTGCCCAGCCAACTTATCTCTACCCCACTCCTTTGGGGTAGGAGCTCACCAGTACCAATTTCCCTCCAGTTTTTATCAACTGAGGCAGAGGAAGGGGAAGTTCCTCGAAACCTTCCTCCCTCTTCCTATGAACTCTACCCTCATCTCAGCTGGACTCTGGACAAAGCCCACATTGCTTCATTCTCCTACAAGACTGTTGGATGCCACCTCCTCCAGGAAGCCCGCCCTGACCACCCCCAAGAGCTAGGTTAGGGGCCTCTCTGTGGCTCCCTTCCCCACAACTGGATTGCCATTGCCCTGGGGCAGGGGCAGGCCAGGCACACAGCCACGGCTCAGAGAGGGCAGGTTGAAGGAATGAGAGAATGAATGAAGAATGGATGTTTTTGCCCTCCTTGCCAGGGTGAGTAGACACCAGCCCCTCTGGCTCATGAAACCAGCTCTTCCTTGGGGAGGGGGCCTCGCTGAGCTGAATGATGGGGAGACCACCCACAGGAACTTCAAGTCCTGCTGGCCTGCCCTCCCCACTTGGTTGTCACGTGGGACCCGGGTCCGGCAAATCTTGAACCAGTCCTATTCCTCTTCCCACGCCTGGGTCAGGCCCCTGAGGTGAACACCTCTATGTGGGAAGAGACCTGGAGGTTAGTGTGCCTGGGTTACAGGTCGTGATCCTGAGGGCAAGATGGCAGCCAAGGAGATGGGGCGAGGGGCATGGGAAAGGCAGAAGGATGGGGAAGAAAGTGGCACCCTGGATGCCCAGGAGAGGCAGACGTGAGAGATGGTTCATCCTCCCCCTTCACCCCCGACCATCCCATGGCTATGCCAAGGTGTGGCTGATGTGGTCAAACACAAGGGACCTGGGGGGAGATGTAGTGCGAGACCGGGGGCTTCCAAACAAACACTGGCTGGACGGGCCTGGTGGACCCGCTGCCCCATGAGGCCCAAGGAGGGGCTGTAGTCCTTGAAGTCTCCAACTTGGGGTAGACATTCAGGACTGAGTCACCTCCTCTGAGGTGGTCCCATGTGCTTCCTCCCAGGGCAGGGCTATGGCGGGGCGGGGGGGGGTGTGTTGGAGGGGGGAGGTGGGCAAGGAGGGAAGGGGGAGCAGTTTGGTAAAGAACATGACCAATTCTCCCACTGGTTCTGGATGTTTACATTTGTCAAATTTTCCGTGTGTCACACATGACAGGGCGGCCTTAGCCTCTTCGAGAAGTTCTGTTCCCTTTGAGCATCTTTTTCCATTCTGGCTGTCTCTGAGCCTTTCCAGGACTTTTAGCCAGTTTTTAAAATGGAACATTTCTCTCCCAGTCCTTGGCTGAGTAGGGGCGGTCAGCTTGGAGCCCATGAGTGAGTAGCCAAGGATGCAGGCCCGGGAGCCACATGACTCTTGTTTCAAAGCCAGCCCCTGCCCTGCCAACTTTCCTTAAGAAAGTGACTGCAGGGGTGCCTGGGTGGCTCAGTGGGTTAAAGCCTCTGCCTTCGGCTCAGGTCATGATCCCAGGGTCCTGGGATCGAGCCCCACATCGGGCTCTCTGCTCAGCGGGGAGCCTGCTTCCTCCTCTCTCTCTGCCTGTCTCTCTACCTACTTGTGATCTCTATCTGTCAAATGAATAAATAAAAAAATCTTTAAAAAAAAAAAAAAAAAGAAAGTGACTGCAAACTCCCCGAGCCTCAGTTTCTCCATGTGGAAAATGGGGCAGTAACAGCGCCTTCCCTCTTAGCGTCCTTGGGAGGAAGGATTAAGCAGCACACCCCACGGGGGACATTAAACTCCAGATTTCATCCAGAGGAAAGCTGTAATCCCAGCAGGCCCGGGAAGAGTTAGAATGGACTATTTAGAAGCCTCTGGGAGGTGCCTGGGTAAACTTAAAAAGACTTGGGGAAGAAAAAAATAAAGAAGATGGGTGAAGTTTTGCCATGTAAAGAAAAAAAAATCATTACTACTCATTCAATACATCAAAAGGCAACATTATTTTTTAGAATTTATAAGCTTTCTTTTTTAAAGTTTTGGTTATCAGTATTCCTGCTGACAAAAATCTAGACTCACTGCAAGACTAAAATTTGCAAAGTAGAAATGGAAAAGTTCCTATTCTCCTTGCCCTCCCTTAACATAATGGTTAGCAATGTGATGACTATGTCTTTGGGATTTTATTATTCACACATACCATTTCCTCCCCCAAATACTATATTGTCTTTTGAAACCTGCTCTTTTCCTACAGTACACTGGGGAGGGACATGTGAATGGAAATAAATATATCTTGCTCTTTTAATAGCTATAGTCTGCCACTGACTGTATGATACTTTACATAATCGATCCCCTCTTGATGGATATCTGGGTTGTTTCCAAAATGTTACCATTTATGATAATTACTGCTTTCCTTTGGAATGCAATTCGGCAGATTGTTTCATAGTTTTTAAATGTTTGATTCTAGTAATCAGTTTTCTAAGAATCTATCCTAAGGAAAAAATCCTAGAGAAAGAGGATTTTTGTATAGACAAAGATGTTCAGTGGGGCCTGGCTCGCTCAGTCGGTAGAGTGTGTGACTCTTGATCTTGGGGTGATGAGTTCAAGCCCCATGTTGGGTGTAGAGATTACTAAGGATGTTCTTTGCCAGATTATTTATAATATTGAAAAACCAGAGACAATTTAAATAGCCTGGGTGGTGCAGTGGGTTAAGCGTTTGACTCTTGGTTTTGGCTCAGGTCCTGATCTCAGAGTCATGAGATCGAACCCTACATCGGGCTCCACACTGAGCGTGGAGTCTGCTCGAGATTCTTTCTCTCCATCTGCCCCTCCTGCTCGTGGTCTCTCTCTCTCTAAATAAATCTTAAAAAAAAATGTTCACCAATAGAAAAACATGTACTACATGTTACATAAATCATGACAAATCTGCTCAGTAGAATATCACGCAACCACTAAAAAAGGTTTATGTAGACTATGTAACATACCCCCCCAATGTGTGTTACTAAAAGAAAAAGCAGGATGCTAATATATTCACAGTGGGGCTACCTAACAAGGAAAATAAACCTATGTATAGAAAAAAGATTTGGGGGGTGCCTGGGTGGCTCAGTGGGTTAAGCCTCTGCCTTCGGGTCAGGTCATGATCCCAGGGTCCTGGGATCGAGCCCCACATTGGGCTTTCTGCTCGGCGCGGAGCCTGCTTACCTTCTTCTCTCTCTCTGCCTGCCTCTGCCTACTTGTGATCTCTCTCTCTGTCAGATAAATAAATAAAATCTTAAAAAAAAAAAAAAGAAAAAGAAAATAGATTTGGAGGGAGTGCCCAGGTGGCTCAGTTAGTTAAGGGCCCAATTTGTGATTTCTGCTCAGGTCATGGTCTCAGGGTCATGAGACTGAGCCCCCTGTTGGGCTCTGCACTCAGCAGGGTGTCTGCTTGGGATTTCTTTCTTTCTTTCTTTCTTTTTTTTAAGATTTTATGTATTTATTTAATACAGAGAGAGAGCAAGCACGCATACAAGCAGGTGGAGTGGCAGGGAAAGGGAGAAGCAGGCTCCCCGCAGAGCAGGAAGCCCGACTTGGGGCTCGATCCTAGGATTCTGGGATCATGATCTGAGCCGAAGGCAGATGCTTAACTACCTGAGCCACTGAGGTGCCCCTGCTTGGGATTTTTTATTTTTCTCTCTCTCCCTCTGCCCCTTCCCCCACTCTCAAAATAAATAAATAACCCTTAGAGGGAAAAGGACAAGGGAAAAAAATTAGGAGGAATAGGACAATGTTGGGGAAGTGGGGAAGTTACCCAAATCATGAATGTTCATATCCACTGACTGGCCATTGTCTTTCTAGAAATTTTCCCTAAAGAAAAAGCAGAATAGGGGTGCCTGGGTGGCTCAGTAGTTAGGCGGCGGCCTTCGGCTGAGGTCATAATCCCAGGGTGCTGGGATCAAGCCCCACATTGGGCTCCCTGCTCAGCAGAGAGCCTGCTTCTCCCTCTCCCTCTGCCTGCCGCTCTGCCAATTTGTGCTCTCTCTCTCTCTCTCTCTGTCAAATAAACAAATAAAATCTTTTTTAAAAATTATTAAAAAAAAAAAAAAAGAAACAGGGGAACCTGGGTGGCTCAATGGGTTAAGCCTCTGCCTTCGGCTCAAGTCATGAGATCTCAGGGTCCTGGAATCGAGCCCTGAATCGGGCTCTCTGCTCATCAGGGAGCCTGCTTCCCCCTCTCTCTCTTTGCCTGCCTCTCTGCCTACTTGAGATCTCTGTCTGCCAAATAAATAAATAAAATCTTAAAAAAAAAAAAAAAAAAGAAATAGCAGGTACGTACTATAAATACATTTGTAAGGTTGGTCACTGCAGCACTGTTTATAAAAGAAAAAAAAGTTTGAAACAATGGCAATGTCAGTAGGATATTGGATATATAGATCAAGGCATATTTCTACAGTGGACTATGATTCAGCAGCTCAAGGGTAGATCTTGCAGTTACGTAAAGGATTCCATTACATATTGCTCAGTAAAAGAGTTCTGAAATCAGTGTGTATAGTATGATTCCATTTAGGTTAAAACTGGTGTATTTTTGTAATTAGTTAGGAAGCTAATAGTCCTTATCTTTAGGGTTGTACGATTATAGGGACTTTGCTTTCTCTGTACTGTTTGAGTATTTTTGTAACAATTGTGTACGATCAGAACAAAATTAATACTGATCATTTCAATTTTTTTTTTTTAAAGGCGTATACTTGCAAGAAACATACAAAAATCTCAGTAGTGGCTTCCTGGGAAGGGAGGGTTGCTGCCTTTTTAAGCTTTGTCATTTCCCCAGTGTTTAGAATTGAGAAGGTATTAGTTTTAATAATGAAAAGCAAAAGTTAAAAAAAAATGTAGTTATATCTCGTCTTCGTTTGTAAAGAGATTTAAGGCAGTTTAAAATAAACTCGGTGTTTTTTAAAGTGTAACAAAAGATTGTGTCGCCGAGAACTCAGTGGGCAGTGGGACGGTGACCCAGATGCCTCGGTCAGTACTAACCCAGTGGGGAGTCCGGCCCGGGTTTTATTACACCTGGAAAAGGCACGGCGTGGATGCTAATTTGCTTTCTGACCACATAAGTGGGCAAAGTGAGACAGGATAAGGGAAGGTGTGCACGTGACTGATTACGCACGAGCCACGAAACCTGTGAAACTTACTTGCAACGTACAGTTAAGGCAGAAGTGCCCCCACCGCCCAGCATAGAGAGGTTTTTCAAATATAGGAGAGGCTGGGCTCTCCTGGAGATTCTGAATCAGCTTTGCTGGGCAGGGGCATTGGAATCCTGGAAAGTCTCCCCCAGGCACCTGATTCTCATGCACTCCCCGGGGAAGAACTGCCTTCGGACGATCTGGCTAAAAATCCTCAGAATGCCCAAAGGTAGACAAATAGGAAGAAGGCCTTTAAAAAGGTCACAGACCCAAAAGAGGCTGGCCCTGTCGAATGCATATGGATTACCATAAAGTGAGTAATCCAAGATGCTTTAAGGCAATTGGTTTTGAGGAACTGGGCTGGCTTCCCCCACCCCAGGAGGCCCGGATCCCAGATCTATCCACCCCTCCCCCACTTCCCTAACTCTGAATCCCACTCTGCTCTTCTTTTCTGAGACTCGGTTGATTCATCTGTAAAATGGGGATAACATTACCCACTTCTCAGGGCTGTTGGGAGGCTTAAGTCAGTTAACAAAGATGAGCACTTAGCTCAGTGCTTGGCCCATAATAGCTGCTTAACAAATACCAGCCATCCCCTTCTCATCGTTGTCACCACCGTCATTCTTAGTGAAAAGGGACCGCTGAGGATGCTCGGGTTGGAGCAAAGTCTTCTAGCAGCGATGGGGGCCTAAAAGGGTCGTTAAGTGTAAGCAGACCCAGGGTTAGAGGCTGGCACGAAACCTAAGGGCCCAGAGTCACCCAGCCAGCACAGGTCCACGTGGGTGGCGGAGAGGCTGTCAGTCCTGCTCAGCAGATGGTTCTGCCCACGGGAGGCCATGGCCATGAGGAAGGGACAGCCAGGCCCAGCCCCGCCCTGGTGGCCGTCATACCTTTTCGCTACACTTTCTGATGGTGGCCGTGAGCTCACTGACTACCATATCCACACACTTGATACTGGGCTCTTTGAGCTTCTGCACCTGCTTTTTCACTGTGGCTTCAAAAGCGAGGTCAGGTGTGAAGAGGCCCGTCCTGCACCCGGGGAGGAGGGGACGGGACAGGAGGAGCAGCCGTGGGCAGGTGGGGAGAAGGAAGGGAGTGAAAGCCAAGCAGAGCCAGGATTCGGGAGTGGAGGATGGTACGGGCATGGGGGAAGAGAGAGAGACACCGACACAGAGAAAGAGAGAGAGAACAGAAGACAATATGAGTGTGGGACCGGCCCTCCCTACCGCCACCCGGGGTCGGCACCTCCCAGGAGCTGCCAAGTATCCCCCAAGACTCTGTGGATATGGGGTGGGGGGCTTCTGAGGGACCAACCCCTGCTCCAAACAAGGCCCCTTCCTAAGTTTAGATCCTCTCCCCAGGGCTTGGGTCTCCCCCACACCCCTACTCCTCAGCTACACTGAGCCAGCCCTCTCTGTCTTTTCCAATACTATCTTTGTCACAGCCTTTGGGTCCTCCTAAGGGTCCCAGGCCAGAACCCCACCCACCCGTTCTGTTCAATTCAAGGTTTGCCAGAATCTCCTGCATTCACTTCATCCTGGCTCCAAAGCCTAGCATGATTCCCTACCTCAACCAGGATCGCTGCATCCAGCTGCCCAGGCTGTGCACTGCACAACCCCAGGGGGCTCCATGTGCATAGACCATGGTGCAGATGATGCCTCCTGGAGTTGCGTAGCTGCCTGACCTCCACTCTCCAGCTCTCTGTTCTACTCCTGCCCTTCCCTTTCTCCACAAGGGGCATCCTTTGCCTCTCCTCCAAAAGGGTCTGGAGGAATTCAGCTGGGAAAGACAGAAAGAGAGAAGAGGAAAGACAGAAAGAGTGGAAGTGGTGGTAGAGAGGGGCCAGGGCAGCAGTGGGGAGAGGAAAGGAAGGGAGGCTGAGCGTGGAATCAAAGAAGTACTGGATTTGGAGTCCAAAGCCTTGGCTTCGAGTAATAGCTCTGCCACTTACTAACTTATATGACCTGGGACAAGTCACTTGATCTCCAAAGCCTCAGTTTTCCTGCTATGACATGGGTGCCATCCTCCCTGCCCTGTCCTCCTTGGGAGGTTCTGTGAAGCTCAGATGACATAACAGATGGAAGAGGGCTCTGTGCCTGGAAGGTTGGATGTGGATGGAAGGGAAGAGGAAGGTCCTGAGTGAGAGTCCTGAGTGAGGCTGGGGTGAGAATGGGGAGGATGAAAGACAGTGGGGAGTCAGGGTACCTGCTAGGCCCGGGTCCTCTGCACCCCTCTAGCCATCCAGAAGGCCCTGTATCTCACCTGCCTGTGGGGTCCCTGGAACCCCCAAAGGGGACCCCCAAAGCTGGAAGAGGGCTCAGGGTCCCTCCAGGCCTATTCTCCCTGAGCTGGGGGAGCTCTTGGTGGGCTCGGAGGATGAAGAGTCGCCATCACACCTGTCTTATCAATGTCTAATCCCTACATCTGAGGGCCAGGGGGTGGGTAAGGCCCCCTCAGAGAGGCCCCCTGTCTTGGTCCTTGGTGGCCTGCCTCCCCCACCCCGTCGAGGTCTGTACATGCTACCGAGGAGGTGGTGGGGGATGTGGGGGAAGGAGCGCCTGGCAGCGGTGCAGGAGGGGGGCAGAGGTGGGGGGGGCTGGCCCGGGCCACCGGGTTACCTTCTTGGTGCACTGTCTAACCGTGCTGATTAGCTCCGAGATAACCATGTCCACACACTTGAGACACGGTTCTCGGATCTTCTTCACCTGCTTTTTCACAATGGTCTCAAAGGCCATGTCTGGGGTAAAGAGCCCCGTTCTGAACGCCCGGAGCGGGAGAAGGGCACAGTGTCACAGGCCAGCTCCTGCCAGGAGTGCCAGGCCAGGGCCCCGCCCGACCCCCTGAACTCTGCCCTTGGGGTCCTCCCACTCCCCCTCTCTGGGCGCCAGTGTTCTCATCTGTAAAACGGGTGGGAGGGTTTCTAATGAAGGACTTTCCACTAACGCTCTTTGGGGGCAAGACACAGTCTGCTTATAGTCATGTATGTCCTGCTTCCTCTGAAAATTCTGTTCGTACAAAAGGTGCTATGGCCAGAAATGGTATGAAAACTGCCAAACTGGGTTCTCTTTAAGAGCCTTTCTGGGGATAAAACATTTTATTTTAAGATCAGGAGAGAGATTTTTTTTTTTCTGTGTCAAGGCCAATGCAGTTATCAGTCTGTAATTTCCATGCCAAACCTTGGAATTGAACCTGCTTAAATGCAGGGATATTTTGGTCTCGTTCACTGCCTTGCACATAGCAGGTGCTTTAAATTTTCTTGTTGAATGAACAGTGTGGGTCTCGGTCCTTGAAGGGGGTTAAGCTTTTAAGGAAGAGTCCTTTTTCTAGTCCCCTTTCCTGTTCCAAAGGCCATGAGGCTGGCTAGAAGGAGGGCAGTGATGTGGAATGGGGCCCACTTGGGGCTAATGAGACTACGGGAGGGTCTGGAGGGTTGAGAGGCCCTGTCCCATCCTAAAAGGACACAGACATTTACTAGCAGCTCCATCCCAGGCCCTCCCCAGTGGTTTGGCACCTCCTGGAGAGGACTGAGGGAGGCTGTCTCATCCTGAGGATGTGCAGGAGGTCCAAGCCTAGAGGATGTTTCCCCGGCCACCTATGTCCTAGGCTCTGCCCAGCTGGTCCAGCCTGTAGGCCCTGGCTCCAGGGACAGCAAAGGAGGACAGCAAGTTGCAGGGAGGGGGTGGCCCATGCCTCCAGTCCACCTCCCCCAGCCCAAGCCTATTTGAGCTGGGAGCCAGAAAGGGTGGAGGGGACTGGGGACCAGGGCTCTTGGTCCTTCCTGAGGGCGGCTCACTTCTCTCCCTGTGCCTTGGCACCAGACACCCTGCCTTCCAGGGCTCAGCCCCCTTCCCCGGTCCCAATACGTGCCTAATGCCATGGATATTCTTGATGGCGTAGCTGATCTCCCTTCGGAGCTCCTTCTCATCAAATTCCATCTGTGTAGGAGAGCAGGTAATAGCTGGTCAGGGCCTTCCTGCTTCCCGGAAGGCCAAGACCCATGCCACCCCCCCAGGGTTGGGCGCCAGGTCAGCAAAGGTATTTGTGAAAGTCCTGGGGAGGGGTAGGGTGGGTAGTCCTAAGCAAAAGCGTCCCACCCCACCTCCCCACCCCCGCCCCCGCCCCGGGGCCCTGGGGAGACTGTCCTACCTTGACTAGCTCAAAGGGGAAGCGTTCATGGAAGATCCGGTTGATGCGGGCTCCTCCTGACAATTCATAGGTGTCGATCTGGTCCCCTGAGCCTTCAATGCGCTTCTCAAAGTCCACGGCAAACTGCTGGACCATCCTGGGGGTGGAGAGAGTGGGATGGTGTGAGGAGGCTGCAGCCAGCCGCCTTGTGGAGGGAGCCCTGGGGGAGCCCTGTGCTGGGGAGTCAGAAGCCGGGGCGGGCCTCACTGCAGCAGGGCCTTGGTCTTGCGCGCTGGGTCATCAGGCCGGAAGTTCTTGTACTCCTCCACCTCCTTCTCTATGGACAGGAGCTGGCTCTGCAGCTTGTTCCGAAGCCCCGGCAGTGTGTCCCGGATGTGGTTGGTCAGTTGCTGGGGGCGGGGGGGGGGGGGGTGCGCAGAATGAGACAGGGGTTAAGGCCATGGTCACAAACGCAGTTACCCGGAGGGTCAAGCAGGGGCCAGGATGCCAGGGCACCTGTGGATGTGGTGAGGTTGGAAGCGGTAGAAGGCAGCCATGACCTTGCCCATCACTGCCCTGCCCACGAGAAGCAAAGCCGCTGGGGCCTGGGCCTGGCATACAGTGGGTGTGTGAACTGAATTCATGAGTGAACAACGCAATTTTCTTTCTTTCTTTCTTTCCTTCCTCCCTCTTTCTTTTAAAGATTTTATTTTTTTGAAAGAGAGAGAATGAGAGAGAGCACAAGAGGGGGGAGGGTCAGAGGGAGAAGCAGACTCCCCACAGAGCAGGGAGCCGGACACGGACTCGATCCTGCGACTCCAGGATCATGACCCGAGCTGAGGGCAGTCGCTTAACCAACTGAGCCACCCAGGCGCCCCTAAAGATCTTATTTTTACATAATCTCTATGCCCACTGTGGGGCTCAAACTTACAACCCTGACATGGAGAGTACAGGCTCTACCAACTGAGCCAGCTAGGCGCCGCGTGCAATTTTCAGTAGAAACCGGGAGTCTAGATTTTTATTTGAAATTACCTGATTTCTAGACACCATGAGGGCCAAATAAAATGTTTCTGGGCAGGAATGGCTGGAGGGCTGCCCCCTCTTCCCCTCTGAGTTTAGGCCTCCCGCAGGGTAATTCTCAAGTTCAGAGAGCTGGAGTGTCAGGTCTGTAGGGCCCCAAGTCCCCAGTTCCGCCCCTATGCCACATGCCCTTTCCCGCTCCCTCCCATCCTCATCACACCCACGAGGAGGACTCCTCTGTGGGTCACCCTCACATTTGACTGGTTCTGTCCCCATGCTGCTTTCCCCAGGCCTGAGCTCCCACCTGGTTGAGGACCTTCTGCAGGTAGGGTGTGCCCATGCGGTCCGCCAAGTGGCGGTAGGATGGGTGGGAGAGGAAGAACTTGCGCTCAGCGGCCAAAGCGGCCGTGATATCCTTCTTGCCATCAATGTCCTTCTGGCTCCGGTTCACCACCCCTATGTAGCCTGTGGAAGGCGGTAGAGGTCAGGGGCGAGCAGCCTTGCGCAGGGTGGGGTGAAGGAGAGGGGCAGAGCAGCAGGTTAGGGGAGGGGCCTGCCTACCTCTGCGCAGGGGGAGAAGCTTGTTCTCCAGCACATCACGGGCATCTGTGCCCTCGTCCATCAGATCCAGCTTGGTGATGACCCCGATGGTGCGCTGGCCTGGGGGGCCGCAGGAGAGGCTCATCTGCATCTGCACTAGCCCTCCCACCTGAGACCCCGTGAACTGCGACCACCCGCCCCGCCCATCTCCCTTCCCATACCCTCCCTCACCCACCGCCTGCCTCCTTTACTCTTCAGAGTGGCTCCTCCTGGCCCAGAAAGTAGAGCCCCAGGGCCTTGCACTTCTGCTGCCCTCAGGAACCTACCCTGGGGGTCCACCTCCTTGGCAACTTTGAGAGCATCAGAGTTGGCCAGGTCGGAGTTGGCCGGGGACACAGCCAGGATGAGGCAGTTCTCCTTGGTGACAAACTGCATGAGCATGTCCCGGATCTGGAACTCGATGTCAGGAGGTTGGTCCCCCACCGGGACCTTGGTCATTCCGGGAAGGTCCACCAGTGTCAGGTTCAGCACTGGACAAGGTGGCGAGAGGGCGGGCTCAAGGCGAGGGGCGTGGCGGTGGGCGGGCGGATTAAGAAACGGGGTCGTCCAGAGAGGATCCGGCGGGAGGTGGACGGGATTAGGGAAACGCTGGGCTGAAGCAAGGGGAGTGGGGCCGTGCAAGGCGTGGCCAGCGGTGGGCGGAGCCATGGCGGGGTGGAGTTTGGGGTAGGATGGGCAGAGGAGCGGGGTCGCTGTGGGGGCGGAGCCAAGCAAGGGGGCCAGGAGGCCCGGGGCGGGGCCACGTCTCACCATGCGGCGAGTAGACGCGGAGGTTGATGGGCACCGGGGAGATGCCCTTGTTAGTGCCCGTGACCCGGTCGGTCTCAGCCTCGATCTCCAGGCGCACCTCCTCGAAGTCGGTGAATTTCTTCCCCTTGCAGTGCAGGAATTCGGCATATTCTGCCCCAGAGTGGGGAGTTGGGGAAGAACGGTGGAGGGGTAAGCATCTTAACCTGGAACCCACCAGGGTCCCCTCTTCCACTGCACAACCCCCCAAACACTGCCTTCTCTCCCCTCCCTCCCCACAACACCACCACAGTCTCCGTTATGCATTTTTATCCCCACTTCCAGACGGGGAATCCAGGGCCAAAGGCACACAGCAAGCAAGTTCAGGGGCTAGGCCGGACCGCTCTTTGGGGAGAGTGGGGCTGCTGGCAGAGCGCGTACCTGTGGTGGCATTGACCAGCTGCAGGACCAGGGGGCGTCGGGTGACGATGCCTGACCCTCGGGGCAGGAAGTCCCTGCAATGAGGTGGAGCGAGAGGAGGGTCAGGGCCTGAATAGGCTCCCTCTGTCCTGGGGGCATCTGTCCTGCCACTGGGAGTCCCAACACTCTCCCTAAGTGCCCACCACACCTTAGTCCAAGGGGTTTCAGGCCACGGAGGGGAGATGGCATCTGAGAAAGGTAGAAGGGACCTCCCCCCCAACCCAGTACCCTGGGTCACAGATTTATGCATATCAACAGCCAGGAGACCAATAACCCCCAGATCTCTCTCGGGTATGCTCTGTGTTGGTTCTGGGCCAACAAGAAGTCCCTCTGCCAACCCAGTCACCACCATTCAACTGTGGGGTGGGGTGCCCTGCGTGCCCAAGCGCCCAGAGGCCACAGAGTGGGTCTCAAGGAAATGGAGCTGCACCTTCTCCTCTCCTTTCCGCTGTGGGGGAAGGGCAGCATCTCACTTCCCCTTCCCTGGGGGCCCCATCTGGCTGAGGCTGAGGATGAGGAGGGATGGGGGGGGGAGGAGGAGGCAAGGGAATTCATGCTTCTTCAAGGGCCTACTGCACACCAGGCTCCTTGTGGGCAATATCTCATGCACTCCACCCAACAGCCTTGTGAGACAGGTGCTGTTATTATCCCCATTTTCCAGATGAGGAGACTGAGGCTCAGAGGTGTTCAGACTGTGCCGCTGGTATCCAGCAGAGCAGGCTCCGGAGGCAGATCTGTTTGACTCTGCTGGGAGAGCTCCCTGTGCTTCAGTCCTGTGCAGACCCAGTCTCTGAAAGACGGGACCTGAGGGGTCCCCGAGTCACTGGCCCAGACCTGATGTCTATACCCCAACTATCTGCTTGTGCCGATGTCAACCTCAGCAGTCCTTCTGGCTAGCCCTTGTGGGTGCTGATTCTCTGTCCTGTCAGCACTTCTCTATCCACCCCCACCCACGGCCCCACCCAGGCCTGCGCAAGTCTGAGGGCGGAGGTCTCTTCAGGGACAAGGCGGTCAGAACAGCAGTCATGGGATCCCCATGGAAATCCGGGAGTGGGCTATAGCCTGAGGGACCAGAGGGATCCAGCTGGCCACCTCATTCACGGAGAGGCACATGGAGGCCCAAGAAGGGGAAGAGACATTCAAGCTCCTTCAGGACTTGGACGGAGCCTGAGAAGAACCCAGATCTCCCACCCCCAGCCCAGAGCCTGACCTGGACCACACAGCTTCCTGTACCACCCCCCACCCCCTCACTCCCCCGCCAGGAGGGTCCCAGGCACAACAGAGTAGGCCCAAGCTCCTGGGTTCAAGGCCTTCTCTTGGGTCCTGGGGAGACTTCTTCCTACCCCGCCCCTCCTCTGGGGAGATGAGAGGCCAATAGGGAGGAGTCAGCTACTTCTATGGGGAAGGAGATGGATGACAAATCCTGCCTTTATTCATCATTTCCAGGTGCTAAGCAAGCACTTTTCATTTCTGCAAGATGGAGCTTCAGAAAGGCAGGCCCGGCATCTTTCTGCTCACCCCTGGATCGCACTGTCTAGCCCAAGGCTTAGCATGTAAGAGGCACTTGATAAATGCTGACTGAACCCCCTGGCCCTCAAAACAGGGCCCCGACATGGAAACGATCATTTTACAGATGAAGCCACTGGGGCTCAGAGGTGAAGTGACTTGTCCAAGGTGACCCAGATGGGCACGGGTCAAACCCAAGGGCCTGTGGGGCCCCAGAGACTGGGAAGTTTCCTGTCGAACTCTGCTCCTCCTTCAACCCAAAAAGCCAGAATTGGCTTTTTATGTAATTCAATTACATTCTGTCTCGGACAGATTTGGAAGCAGCTGCTCTGTGCCAGGCCCTGTGCTGGGCCCAGGGGATGTGATGTGATGAGTCAGATGCTCCCTACCCAGAGGAGGAGCTTGCAGTGCAGAGGGAGAGACAGACAAGTAAACAGATAATGCAATGCGGTGTGACATGTGCTCCAAGGGAGATATGCCAGGCAGCTCAGAGAAGGAGGGGATTTAACGGGGTGGTGGGGGGGTGGGATGGTGGTGAGGCAGTTCCTGTCTCTAACCCTCCCATCCTTTACTCACTCCTCTCGGGGTGACTGTCTAGTATTTGGGAACCCCCAGAGCTGTGTTGATAGGACATCTGTTCTCATAGAGGCTCGGGTGGGCATGGGGGCCTGGGGTCCACCCTTTCCCCCAACCAGCTCTTCACCCAGCAATACCATGGCAGCAGCAGTTGCCATGGAAACTATAGGAGGGGCTGGGAAGGATGGGACTCCCCACAGAAGGCCCCCCACGCAGAGACATGGACCTTCCCTGAGAGCTCTTCCCTGAGAGCCCCCCTCCCTGCACAGAGAGGCCCGCTCAGCCCCAGCAGACCTGCAGGTTGAAGGCCAATGAGATGTTGCATAGAGGGTATGGGGAGCCTAGGGCCCAGCTGAAGGGGTGGTTAGGGGTCTGGGCCAGGCTTCCCCAAGTCGCTGGTTCCCCAGGGCTACTTAAAGGACAAGCAGCTTATGGGAAGCAGAGATTAGAGGAGCAGGGCTATGTGTGGGAGTAGAGCCCTTCCTCACACCAGGATCTCCAGAGCCAGGGTGGTGATGGGGGTGCCTGGGTGGGGAAAGGTCCCATCTCTGTCATGGCACAGGTTCTCAGAGCAAGGCCCTCACGAGGCCCGCAGGGGCAGCTTATTATTATTATTTTTTATTTTTATTTATTTTTAATTTTTTTTTAATTTATTTATTTTAGAGACAGAGAGAGAGAGCATGAGAGGGGAGGTCAGAGGGAGAAACAGACTCCCCATGGAGCTGGGAGCCCGATATGGGACTCGATCCCAGGACTCCGGGATCACGACCCGAGCTGAAGGCAGTTGCCCAACTAACTGAGCCACCCAGGTGCCCCTTATTATTATTTTTTAAAGATTTTATTTATTTATTTGACAGAGATCACAAGTAGGCAGAGAGGCAGGCAGAGAAAGAGGAAGGGAAGCAGGCTTGCTGCTTCACAGAGAGCCTGATGCGGGGCTCGATCCCAGGACCCTGGGATCATGACCTGAGCCAAAGGCAGAGACTTTAACCCACTGAGCCACCCAGGTGCCCTGCAGGGGCAGCTTATTAAAATGCATGTTTCTTAGGGCACCTGGGTGGCTCAGTGGGTTAAGCCTCTGCCTTTGGCTCAGGTCATGATCTCAGGGTCCTGGGATTGAGCCCTGCATTGGGCTCTCTGCTCAGTGGGGAGTCTGCTTCCCCCTCCCTCTCTGCCTGCCTCTGTGCCTACTCGTGATTTCTGTCAAATAAATAAATAAAACTTTTTAAAAAATGCATGTTCCTCAGATATGCTGGGTTAGGATCTAGTGGGGCAGGGGTGGGGGAGAGGGAACCTGATTTTTAAATATGACCCCCCCCATGTCCCTTTCATGTTCCCTTGGTTAGGAGCCAATGCCAGGCATAGGCCCTGGGTTCAAATCCCACCTTAAAGCCATTCTGCAGTCTGGCCAAGGTGCTTCACTCTCTGGGCCTCAAAACCTTCAGCAGCGAACCAGCATCATAGAAACCAGGCATCAGCCACGACCACATGTGGGCTGCAAGAAGGCCGGTGGAAGCTTTTCGTGCAAAGAGTTTAGCCTGGGCCTGGTACCTAGTAGGTGCTCAGCACCTCCAGGGGTCTGCCCAGGGTGCTACCCCTTCTCAGCCCCCTCTCTAGGAGAGTACCCAAATTTCAGCAGGGAATGCGAGATCCCACAGAACGCTCTGCCCGCCTCCTCCAGGCACTGACCTGGACCTCGAGATCCTGACCATGAAAGGTTAGGTGCAAATGATGCACAGGAGGAGAAGCTTTCAGAGGCCATGTCATTCTTCCATCACTGTCTAGAGGAGGGGACAGAGGCCCAGAGAGGTGCAGGGAGCTGTGACGGGAGAGGTGGCTGAGAGGGGCCCAACCCCATGCCTGGGCAGGCAGCAAAGAGCACTGGCCGGTTCACACGTCCAGACTGAATCCTTGCTCCCTGCTGGATTCCCAGGCTCACCCCAGGCCTGGCCGTTGGTAGGTCCTCAGGCAACGCTCAAGGGACAGAGCATGGCTGAACCCCTCCATGGCTCCTGCCTTCCACCCGGACACACGGCGCTCTGTTAAAGTGGGGGTTCAGCCCAGCCTTGTCCCCAGCCAGTGCCGCCCCGCACCTCCCACCCAGCTCCTGCTTAGGCTGAGGGAGGACCGAGAAGAGTGTGCTGGGCCCACCAGCCCCGGGAGCCATGTGGGAGGGGTGCATGGTGGCCTGCCAGCTCTCCCTACTCCTTCTGGACAGATGGTGGTTTCCCGAGGAGGCCTTGCCTTGCCATCTGCAGAGGCGCTTTCAAACCTGAGGCACAGGGAGGATGAAGTAAACATCTCTGGAGGCCTCCAAGGACCACATGCTCCCTGTCTGAATTGACACCGTGCTACTCAGAGGGGTCTGGAGAAAGTGAACCAAAGGCCCAGAGTGACCCTCCCCTACTCTACTCTAGGACCTGAGATCTGGGGCCAGAGCTCAGGGACCCTGCTTCCCAGGTCCTGTGAGCGCAAACAACATCAGCGAGCAGCCGGCGCGGTCTGGCTCGCACCCAGCAGCCACCTTCCTTCTAAGTCTCCTGTTTCCTGGGCTCTGAGGTCAGACAAGCCTGGCATTGAATGTCAGAGCTGCCACTCAGGAACTGTGTGGCTCTGGACAGGTGGCCATACCTCTCTGAGCCTCAGTTTCCACATCAGTAAAATGGGTTACCACGAGGCTCGCATATATCGATGCCTGAAGAAGTGGTAGCTGTTACGATTATAAAGAACATAACTTGCTGAGCAAAGCTGAGAACACAGGCTGGGCTCCCACCAGACGTTGCAGCAGGGAGGGAGTTGGAAGGGGGGGGACCCCTGGGGGGTGCGCGGAAGAGCGGGCGGGTGCGCCAGGATAATTCCAGCCAAATCTTTCCCCTGAAAGCGGAAGGCAAGGGAGGCAGGCAGGCTCTGAGGTGCCTTCTGAAGCACAGGGCTGGGGTGGAGGCAAGGGAGG